GCGACCAATCTATGAGCTCATATACTACTTGTCTATAGGTACCCATCCTACAGTAGAAGATGGTATAGTTGATGAATGCGATTAATTAAGTATGGTTTATCATTATTGTCTATAGGTAGCCATCCTATAGTAGAAGATGGTATAGTTGATAGAATGGGATTAATTAAGTATGTTTTATCATGTTATCTATAGGTACCCATCCTACAGTAGAAGATGGTATAGTTGATAGAATGGGATGTCTAAGTATGTTTAATCATGTCTGTAGCTACCCATCCTACAGTAGAAGATGGTATAGTTGATAGAATGGGATTAATTAAGTATGTTTTATCATGTTGTCTTTAGGTACCCATCCTACAGTAGAAGATGGTATAGTTGATAGAATGGGATGTTTTAGTATGTTTTATCATGTTGTCTATAGGTACCCATCCTACAGTAGAAGATGGTATATAGTTGATAGAATGGGATGTTTTAGTATGTTTTATCATGTTGTCTATAGGTACCCATCCTAAAGTAGAAGATGGTATAGTTGATAGAATGGGATTAATTAAGTATGTTTTATCATGTTGTCTATAGGTACCCATCCTACAGTAGAAGATGGTATAGTTGATAGAATAGGATGTGTAAGTATGTTTTCATCCAGATGTAAATTTGAGTATCTGATAAAGATTAAGAACTGTTCTGACTATATGATTTATAATCTAAAGAGAACTCTTAGTAGTGATGAACGATTCTTCGAATCTGTGTTGTTCGTGTTTTAGAATTAAACTCATCCTATTTTTAAATGAGTTAATTTAGTCTGTTTTTATCCAAAAAGAGTTATCTCCCTTCTACTAAAAATTTTATGTTATTTTATATAAGGGTATTTTTAATATGCTTTTTTTGATAGAATGTAGGAAATTGATTGAAGGTGTTTTTAGTGTATGAAATGTAGGGAATTTATGAAATGTAGGGAATTAAGGTCTTTTTTAGTGTAAGAATTTATGAAATGTAGGATGTTTAGGTCTTTATGGGAGCTTTCATTTTGGTCGCATTTTCCCCATGAAATGAAATGGAATGGGGATTCCCCTTATGCGACCAAATTGAAAGCTCTAGTACTACTTCAGCGTGATAAAAGTTTATAAACTGCTACCAATGTTTCGCCAATATGTTCTTTTGGGTTTCGTTTTGCGGTTTGGCTCGTTAGTACTTGGTTTGCATTACTGCGTTAGTGAAAAACATTGAATTCCTTAAAATTATTCCCGAGTGTCCTTTATGTAACACTTTTTATACGCCCACATGGATATCGTCGCCCCTGTTCGACGGTCTGTCAACATTACTTAAGAAAAACACATTAGAGACTACAGTTTATATCTGAATTAGATGAAATTTGGTGTGATAATTTATATTGGTTAGATCTTTTACTGATTCGAATTTGACGAATTTTCAATGAAGGTTTTTTTTAATTCAAATGAGTTAAAATTTGTTTGAACACAATAAAACATGGTTTCTAAAGTAAATTAGCTGAAGTGCTACTTTCATTGTTTTGAATTGCTAAAGCGGCACAGCCCTTGCGCAGCCCCTGCTTTATTAATTTGATGTATTTGTGTTATTGATGTCCATTTTTTTTTACAAAGGTTGTAAAAAAACTCAGAAAAAATAAGTGACAGTTACAGGCTAGGCAACTAGGGTTGTCATCAATTCTTGGTAAAATGAAACACTTTTAATCCATTTTATATATATATATATATATGAATAAATTCAAACTACAAAAGCATTATGAAGATCTTTAAAGTGATAAAATTCATATTTTAGTCACTAAAGACCCAATTATCATGTCTGACCGCTGCCAGTAAGCGTATGTTACCTTGCCTGGCAAGCTATCAGCTATCATAGTATATGGTAGAAAATAATAAGTGGTGTAAACTTTAAACGAAATCAACAGCTAAATAGAGACAAAGCATTATATTTGAAACTGTTTCATAAAAACGGTAAACTTGACGCAATCAAGATTACCTTTCATTTTTAATAATCATAAAAATATATTGAAATAATGTAAAAAGTAATTAAACTGAATTTTTAATTATGTAAGGTAAACCCCTACATATATTGGGCGTTCCTGCTTTCTTTTTGTACTTTCAAAAAAAGTATGAGTTTGTGTCGAGTAATGTGCATAAACGGTAATAGTTACAGCAACATAAGCAATGCATTGGATCTGCATACTCGGTGTAAGGAAAATGTAGATAATTGACTCTAGAAGGCGTCATTTTTAGAGCGATTTTTCTCGGGTTTTCAGTTTTAGAATTTCGCACGAATATCCTTTGTGTTTTAGGTTCGAATTTTGAAAATTCATAGCACACATTTTTTTAGCCGAATTTCGCAAAATTTGACCAAATTTTTTATTTTCTAGGCTATGCGTCCGATTGATTTCAAATTTCTCGTGCCAAAGCAGATCACAACAGAAAACAAATTGACACAATAAAAAAAGGTTTGCATGACTTCCGGTTGACCCACTTCCGTTTTTTTTATTTATGAAGGTCACTGAAATTTATACTGCCATTTTTGACTGCACCATCTATGGTTACGGAAAACGTGAAACATCTTCTGAACTGTGTTCCATCTTGTTTTAATGAGCGCTTAGACCAAATGAACAGTTATATTTGGGTGTGGGGTGGGGTATCCGCGGACATTTTTTAGAATAAGAAGTCTTAATCGACATTTCCAGCAAAAACAATACAAAAATATTGCATCAGTAGCATATTCTAATTAAATAAAATGATTCCTTTGAATGTCATTAAATTGAATTTTTTAATGATGTAAGACAAGCTTACCAGTATTGGAAAGGCCAGAGAATCTAAATCGTATTCATTAACCAAGATGGTTGCCACTGATGTCGCAAGGATTATAATAGTTTTGCAGTTTTTAATTTTTGGAATGTATAGCGTTCTTTCAGGTAATTAAGTATTTTCTTCAATTTAGAAGTTGAATGAAGTCGTTTTGTGTCGCTCTCGTCTTAGACATACTCACCTTACCAATTATTTGTTTGTTTTATGAGAAGAAAACATGCTAATCTTGTCATGAAAAAAATCGTATTTTGATTACTAATAACCATTGTTCTTGTGTATTGTTGTAGTAAGTGTGGATTATTTAGTGTAATTTTTTTTTAGTATACTTGTTTACTACCAGAACTTTAAGTAAGGTTGTTCTGTGATAGTATTTATTTCGTGATAGTATTAATTTCGTTTTGGCTGCGTTTTATTTTTTTTATGCCAACATTTAATGTTGAGCTTTTTTTGGCGCCTACCTCAATATGAGTTATTGCCCTTATTCTTGAAAACGGTTCAATGGGGGTGATATTCCAATGGGTAAATTTTGTTTTACTCTATACGGAGCGATTTTATTTTCAGAAAAACCGATGTTGTTTACATCTTTCCATTATTCAAACAAAGTAAAAATTTGTAAAGATAAACATTGGCAACAATACCATGCCAGCTCAGATGGTAATATAGTATTTTTAACAGCAGATATCAAACAGCGTGTCTTGTACTGGGTCACAAAGAATGGATACTTCTCAATGGCTCTGGACGGCAAGAAGACGGTTGTGAATCTGTCAAAGAAATTTGGAAATAGATTAATTTTCAAAGGTAAAATATACGTATTCTCTAAAATCGAAATAGTTTTGTGGGCTTGGGTGTATTATTAATTTGCAATGTAAATTAAAAACAAATATTTTGGTGGGATTAATTACATTTGGACAACTTCCATTGTTTATCTACAATAAGCCTTTTGTGGATTTATAACACGATTAAGGGGTTATTTGTCTATATCGGGGTACCAGTCTTTCAATTGAGGGGCATGTGGTGCTTTTGACAAATTAGTTAAGGAAAGCCTATATTCTAACATAAATATTACATTTACCCTCCTATATTCTACACAAGGATTTTAATAAACAATCCAAAAATATTTAAAGAAAACAGTGAATATGTATCAAAATATCAAAATCTTACGAAAAAACTGAAACAACCTGCCTTCCCTTCTGTAAATAAACAATGCAAAATTGTCCTCGTCCTGACGCAGAAAATATATTGAGATCCGCTTTACTTATATCATTGAAAAGAAATGTTATTCAAATCAATCATTTTCATCTGACCTATTTCCTTCTTAAAGAATTTTTACAGCGCGCCGTGGTTTTGCAAAAATTAGATGCTATAGAGTTTAGAGTACACGATGGTGAGATAATATTTGCTGCAAGTTATTGGGGTTTGATGAAATTTGATGTGAAGACGAACAAACAAGTTTTCAGTTTGACAAATTCAACTATAAAGAAATTTAGCCCTGTATATTCACTGTTTGAGATTGATACTCATAGTAACCAAGTCTGGTACGTTAGTTGTATTTGTTTTTGTTTAATATTTAAACAACAGCTTCTCCCTGACGATTGTGGATTGAATAACAGCATGTCCATGAGTGCAATTAAAACCAATAACACCCTGAGTTATCATATTACAAACAAAATTGGATAATTTTAATTAATAATAACCTATCACATATAAAATAAAAATTCAAATTATGTTTTTCAAAATAGTGAGATAACGGACCAGAATCCCAGTGAACACGGGTTTTGCTATAAAAAAAATGGTTAGTCTACGTTGTCAGGATAACAATATGAGCAAATTTATTGGAGGTACACGGCATCTTATAACGTGCAGAGTCTCGCGCACACCTTACAGATCATTATTCTACCAGAACGACACGACAGAGACGTGCATCATTCTCTGAGATAAATTGAACCAAACAAGCCGTTGATACGATCTTGATCTATTGTGTTGCAGTTTGTATTGGGTTGGACCAGGTGAACAAATAAGCAGATATTTGATAAAATCCAATATAAACTATGTGGTTGTTCAGTTGACCCAAGCTAGCTGGATGCCTATAAATGTGTACCGTAAGTATTTAACAACGATATATTCTTTTCGTATTATTTCTATAATATTTCTGGATAAGGTAAATACATTGACAGCAAAATGTCGGCTTTGTAAGTTACGTTTAACGTCTTTGCTTAAATATTATAACAATTACTATTAAATGTACACTACACATAAGGTGTAAGGTGATGATTGAAGTGGACGTCGGACGCATGATGAAAATCTCGTCTACAGCATGACAAAATCGGGAGCAATAATTGGACTCGATATCATATTAGCTTTAGTAGAATTATGTAGAATTATAAAATGTGAGTCTGAAAATAACATCTGCTTCTACTTAACAAACAGGATGCACCCAGCTAGCATAGGATCATTTCTATTTATGATCTCTGTAATCGTTTTGGATGTATATTGAATTTGCCGAGTTACACAGCATCTCTCTAATTGAATATTTAAAATGTTCAAGATGATTTTCCGTCATTGTTGCTCTTTCTATTTTAGAACAAAGGGTTTACTGGAACGGTTTTGCCGGCAACTATTTTAGCACTAATTTTAACCTACAGAACAGGCAATCTTGGATTTCTGACAATATTGTTTATATTATATTTGGTGGAATTATGTATTATTCATATCACAGGTAGATATATTGAAATATTGTACACAGAACAACACTGTCGGTGGTCAAAGCAGTCAAATACTGTATAAGAAATAATGCCCTATATATTTAATTGCTAACACTTATTGCAGACTACCAAAAGAAGTGGACAAATCGTATGAAATCATATTGTTTTGCGCAGGTGGTAATTTTTACAGTTTTGATATCCAGCAACTTTTGGACAATCGTTGATTAATTGTTCTATTCAGTGAGGCTATAGCTTCCGGCATGAAAGAGATTGCTAGAGAGAACAAAAAAATGAGTCTTATCAAGGATCCTGAAAGGTTTTGAGGTTCCGGCACATGAGCGGTCTTGGTCGGAGACTTTTGTCGCCGATCACAGTTCTGTCTTGAGTTTCAGCGACTGGCACAGGCACAAAAGGAGACAAAAATCTGCAGTCGGTCGTTTTCCACCTTGTCGATAATCACGTAAGAAGCAGACAATTATCAAACCTGTTTGATAACATAAATCCTGTCGGCGACACGGTAATCATGTCGTGGAAGCACGGGCATGCGCGAGATTTTAGTCAAGATTCGAGTCGGAAACAAAAGTCTCAGGACAAGACCGCTCGTGTGCGAAAAGCTGAAGAGAAAGACAAGGTTGAAAACACCTTTTCTAGGAGTATAAGCAAGTTACCTTCATCAAATTATGATTATGTATCAATTTTTTGTCTACCCCAATTTGCTACCCAAGTTCAATTTCAATTCAAAGAGAGTATTGACGGCACCCACAAGCCATTTGATTAGCGATGTTTTGAATAACGATGTATAGGACTCGAAACACCACAACAGTTTATGGATACAACTAGTTGACACATCGAACGAAACAGGTCATTATTATAAACTTTTTTTTCAACATTTCAGAAACATTTCGTCCCAGTTATCCAAGGTAGTTTATCCTTTGAAACCCTTCTATAGTCCTTGTCCTGCCACATTCGTTTACAAATTGGTGGTCATTCCTGAATCTGAGCAGACTGTTATTAAAGACTATGATAATCGGGGCGACGACAAGATTGTAAATGATGACGATCAAGATGTTGATGAGGGACATGACAAAGATGATGTTAAAACTAGTGTCTGGTCAACAGTAGGTTGGAGTTTAGGATGTTTCTTTACATTATTCATTCTGGTGATAGTCTGCCTCAGAATATATAAAATGGTCAGGAGAAATCTAGTAAGACAACCTAATCATAACACAACAGAAGAAAATATATACGATCTATCTGAAAATATCTACAGAGGTGATAATTCTGTATACAGAGATTCAACATTTGATTTAGGTTCTGAATCTCAGTATGCTAATGTTCGAATCTAAGACCATATATTTGTCGCATCAATTCATTCAGATTGTACAAGTCACCTCACAAATTGATTGAAATTTTCAAATTATACAAGGAATTAGCATTCCTGAACTCGGATCAGCAGTAAGAAATCTTCTTTTGTTAATAACACATAAAGTACTTGAGTGGCCTTTCGTGTAAGAATGACTCCAGTAGTAGATCTTGTAAACATATATTTACTCTAGTGGTAGATCTTCAATATTCACTCTATAAGTAAGTCTCGTACACTTTCCCTTAAAAAGAATTCTGTTTATTCACTTTAGACGTGGAGTTGCACTTTTACTCTATTTGTGTATCTTTTATTTTTACCATAGAAGTGGATCCTTGTAAAGAATTTTGTAATTTTACTTGATATGTATTTTCATACGCCCACATTGAATTGTGGCCGTAAATTACAACTGATTTATTATTATCTTGGACTGATTCAAATTGGACGATTTTTCGATAAACGGTTTTTGAGTTATTGCTTTTGACTGATTCGATCTTAAACTGGTTCGAATTCGACGGTTTTTCGTTGACAATGTTAACTTCTATCATATCGTGTTATGTTAACCATTCATTTTAGTACTATTAAATGTAGTTATGTTCAGCAAACCTTATATTATTCATAGTTATTGAATTTAAAGACTGACTGTGATCAATTTTATGACCATAAAAAGATGTATAAGCTTTCATAATTTGAATAAAACTATAAAAACTATAAATGAACAAAGAAAAAATGAACACCATCACTAACACACCAATCCCCTCTCGCCTAAACCCACACTCGGGCATCTCTTCAAGCATTAAAGAACAACGATAGAAAACAGAACAACAAGCATAGATAAAGCAACATCCACAACTCGCCAAGAAACAACTACAACAGACAAAAGACAAAAACACGCGAAGCACCACAGACAAACAGCCAGACGAAGACCTCCGCCTGTGAACCGAAACGCTACAAAGTATGGTATATTGTGTACCACAATAAATTATAAAGACTACATATTGTTCAATCGTTCAATAGAGTGATATTCGAATAGATAGTGACTTTGCCTTTCTTTCAATTATTCAACATCAAAAAAAATGTGTAAAGATATACAATGGCAACAATACCATGTCGGCTCTATCAAATTCTTCACCATTGTCCTCAATAATCACCGGTAGGCACAGAATCGAGAATGTCTTTAGATAAACTTCGTAGCATTTCCATAAACGCAATAAAAATGAAAAGTGCACCAAATCCTTAGATTGTATTAGAAACGCGGCTTGAGAACACGGTATGGTTGTAATGTTCTAAGAGATTCCATTAAGGTCTTTAATGAATAGTTTAACTAAATCGAATAATACATTATAACATGTCATCAGTATACCGTTCCTTTGCACAGTGCACCGGTATATTCTGTGCTTAAATCTAATATCTAAAGAGATGATCATGCTATATACAGAGATTTAAACGTTAATTTAGATTCTTAATCTCGGTACGTTGATTATGATATTATAAACGAGTACTCTTCGTCTAAGATTGTTGTCCAAATATTTTATTAACCTTGTATACTTGTTCTTGTTAACTTATCTAGTATGTTGAGTTGCCATTAAACGTTTCTATACTTTGCCGACCGATTTTGTGTGTAGTACTGTAGTTTCAATATGAAATGCTATTTTTCGTGTTCGTAAGAAATGTTTCTTAGCTTTTGTGATCAGTTCATTTAACTGTTCTCCTCTTGGCTAGGATTGATTTCTACATCTCTCTGCAATGGATCTATTTAACAGTGAAAATATTTTATTGCACTTCCTTATGTAATTAGTTCATTAGCTGCTAGCAATAATGTATTGCCAATATGTTGTTTTGGATTTCAGGTTTTGTTTTGCCATTCGGACTTATTTAATAAAATATTGTTCAAACATATGACAATCTCTCGTCTACAAAAGGCGGATGTATTACAAATATCCGGGTGGCTCGAGATTGGCGAGTTCAAACGGTACAGAGCCAGATTAAGTCACATTCACAATTTTCCTTACAGTCCTTTCTCCGCCATTTTTGACTGCACCTTCAATGTTTTCGGAAAACGTGAACATCTTCTAAACTGTCTTCCATCTTTCATCTCCCTTCTCGTTTTATTGAGCAAATGACCAAATGAACAGTTATTTTTGGGATGGGTGTGGGAGAGATGGATTACGAGGAGAGTGTATGGGACATTTTTAAGAATAAGAAGTCTTAATCGACATTTCCAGCAATCTGAGACAAAAACAATAAAAGAAAAATGCATGCGTAGCGTTTAAGCACAGAATATACCGGTGCACTGTGCAAAGGAACGGTATACGGATGACATGTTATAATGTTTTTTATCTGTTCTATATGATTATATTTCAGTTTTAATAACTATAGAATATATTCTAATTAAGATAAAATAATTGCCTTGATTGTTATTAAATTGAATTGTTAATGATGTAAATCAAGCTTACCAGTATTGGAAAGACCAGAGAATCTAAACCATATTCATTAACCAAGATGGCTGCCACTGATGTCGCAAGGATTATAATAGTTTTGCAGTTTTAATTTTTGGAATGTATAGCGTTCTTTCAGGTAATTAAGTATTTTCTTCAATTTCATTCTTGCCTACAGGAGAAATGAAGTTGTTTTGTGTCGCTCTCGTCTTGGACATACTCACCTTACCAATTGCTTGTTTCTTTTATGTGAAAAAAACAAGCTAATCTTGTTATAAAAAAAATTTTGAATACTCATAACCATTGTATTGTTTTGGAATGTTTGAGTTTGTGTGTATTGTTGTAGTAAGTGTGGTATTGGATTACTTAGTGTGATACTACTTTTTTAGTTAGTTTTAATTACTACCAGAAATTTAAGCAAGGTGGCATTCTGTGATAGAATTTATTTCTTATTTGCTGCGTTTTGGATAGAGCATGAAAAGTTTATTGAGAATTCGAAATGTCAGTTGCAAATTTGATAGTTCCAATTTGCTTACGTTCGTGAATTATATCGACATCGAAAATTTCGGATAAAACAAAATACCAATTTTCGATTATTGCAGACTTCTTAATATTGCATTTCCGGTTTCGCATAAATGTCCCAATTCACATTCATTAGTGAGTAAGCCACAATCGACTGGTGAGAAAAACAAAATAGCTGCACATGTTACAGGTTCGTCATAATCGACACATTGAAGCTTAGTTTGTGGTTCGATTGTGCTATATTTAATATGTAGAATATAATTATTTTATTGTAATGTTAAGGTAAGCCTGATGAGTGAAAGCGCTTATTTTTATATATACCACCTAACAGGCACTTTAACCTGTTTTTCTTTAGAAAAGTCTCAAATCAGGTTTTAACGATTCGAACCGCAAGACGAAATATAATATGGCAGTTTGGCAATACAATGGTGGCAGCTTGTGAATCTAAGTGGGCAACTGGGCATATATCAATCATAAGCGAGTCCCTACTGTAAATTTGTGCTCTAATTCGGCGTATAAACTTTGACATGACGACTATTAAGTCTGGAGCCCTGCGTTGTCAGTCTTAATACTGGAAAAACGGCTTTGAGATGTTCTTTTAAATCGTACAGCTGAACATATGACTGGCATTTGTCAATGTTAATTGCGAATATTCACACACAACTATATGCACTGACTTGATAGATATTCTTATCTAAATTATATTTATATAGAAAAGTCGGTTGTATATGAATAGTGTAGTATATTTTTAAGCAGCGGCGGAAATCATTACATAACGAGGAAGGAAATTTATACGACAACGCCTTAACTTAAACTCTATGATAAAGCCAGATTCCTACTGATCTATGGCGGGACCGGACCTTGTAACAGTAGGTTCGAGCCATTACCGACAATATTGCTGTGCCCGAAACGGTACCATAATACAGTCAAGGGATATGCTTTACTTACGAAGATACAGGGAAATAAGAGTAAATGAGGGAAAACGCCTACCCTTCGACTGTATTTTGGTATGTAGAATATCCGGTTCTGTAATGTAGTGATCAACTTGTTGAGGTTCACCTTTTGTATAGACACCAACGGTTATGCCAAAGTTGTCTTTCCTCAAGGTGGACGTTCTTAAATACTAACGATCCAAAAGTATCGGAACCATACTAAGTTACATTTATGTCTGACCCTAAACGTACCGATATGCAAGGAGTAAGTCACATACAAGGAACGGGTAGCGCCGGAATAATTTGTCGGGCTAATTGATCACATACGTAACAATGTGGTTAGTCAACATTCAAAATCATAAATGAAAACAAACTGGGGTTAAACGTTACTTAATCACCATTGCTGTTTACAATAAAGGCAGTTGTGGACCGGTCTCGTCGGCATGAGGCCTTAGTCACTCCAAGTGTATTACGACGTTTTATTAACCAACTGGGGATTAACATACTCATAAACAAAACCGACAGCAACATGGCAAACTGGCCGATTCTCAAGTCATTTTTGGTAGCTGTGCAGCTTATTTACTTGGGTAAGTCTACCGTTATTACCGTAGCAATTTTGTACATGTACACAATATATTTTTCATGAGTTTGTATTGCTTATCATGATGGGTAATTGTGTGTACATTTGTGCGATTATACATTAAATTATTTTGCTTAAATCAACCGATAACGATTCACATTTCAGCTTCTCTCTACTGAGTACTGTGACGCAATTGAACTGGGGATGTCACCATAGTTAATGTTGTTTACTTTGAATATTATTTGATTATAAATTTTCGTTTTAGATTTGATCAAATTATTTTAATCATTACAATTTAGTTATTGCGTCTTACTTGTCCGGACATTAACTTTACATGTAATTCATTAATATCGCGTGTTAAGAAAAGTCCCACTTTTCCACAACGTAATTGCAATTTTAGCTTGGTTGCAAAATCGGTATTGCATTTCGTTGCACTACTGAGCAGAAGTCTGAGCTTAAAACTAAATATTTTTCCTACTAAATTACTGTCGCTACAGGCTAACCATCCAAGAATAGTGTTGAAAGAAATTGTGTTCGAGGTTTGATAAATTTTAAAAATTAATTCCTGTGTAAAATTACAGGACTAGGAGACAACGATCCATGTCACAACTATAAAATGTTATATGATGATGGTGGCCGGAGTATTAACTGTGACCTGTATTATTCTGACTCCCAGGATAGATTTATAGATGAAGGATGGAGAAGAGTCCAGCTACAGCCAAAAGGAGAAGATCTAACCATGCCTACGCATTATGTTCCTTATGGACGTTGTGGTTCTCACAGCAATGTATGGTTAAATGGTAAGGATATTGCTTAATTTTCACTTCGATAAATAAAAGATAATATTGCACATTATGCACGCTACACGGTTCATTACGAGACTTTTAAGTGATTTTATTGACACTAACACGGTTGTAAATGTGACTCTGGGTACAAGCAGTACCATTGATTACACGTACGTACGAAAGTAAAATTACAGTTGATACGTCAGCCATTTATATAGTTATATTTCAGATGTGAAATCTTTACACGATGTTGATAACCTATCGATAAGTCCTTAGTCTGTCCTTAGATTTTTACTGTGAAAAGCAGTTATCTAATGCAGAAACTAGTAAACATATAGCATATATTTTAACTATCAGAATGAACTGAATCATTTGCTAGCTAATATTGAGTGTCCTTCTGAGTCAATTACATGTACTAATTATAAGTGCAAATTGCACTACCATTCTCTAGAGAAATATTTTAATCAACTTATTTTATTAAACATTAAGGCTAATAATTTAACAATCCTTAAGAGAGGCAATGGTAAAAATAGTAAAACCCCTATTCCTGGCTTGAATGACCATGTATCCGAGGCACGAAAGACAGCAATTTTCTGGCACAATATCTGGAAGGATAATAATCGCCCTAGGTCTGGTCAAATATCAGGAATTCGATCTCGAACAAGATCGAAATATCACTTTGTCCTGAAGCAGGTCAAACAGAATACAAATATGATTACCTCGAACAAATTGGCTAATTTCCTCGTGACCAATAGCACTAGAAATTTCTAGGGAGAGATAAAACGCATAAAAGGTAGCTCTAAATCTATATCTAACAATATCGATGGTGTTATTGGAGACGAGGAAATCTCAGAAATGTTTGCCATAAAATAAAACCAGTTGTATAATAGTGTAGGGTACAATATGTCTGGTTTGATTGAGCTACAGACAGAACTTGACAATTCCATTGAGAGCTCTTCTCATAAGTGTTCTTGCACAAAATTTTGATTCTAACAAAATTGCAGTGGATCAAGTCATCCATACCGTAAAGCATCTTAAATATCGTAAAAATGACGGCAATTACGGTCATTCTTCCGACCATATCATTCCTCACATTTTTCATGTACACTTATCATTAGTTTTATCAGCTCTTATGTGTCATGGTTACGGTCCATTGTCCCTTGTTTTATCTACGATAATATCTATACTACCGCGGAATAGCACTCAGTAGCATTATTGTAAAATTTTAGACGGGATTATCGTTAATCATGACCAGGCTGTGTTTGTCTCGTCGGACTTACAATATGGTTTTAAACCAAGTTACTCAACTATAAATTATAAAGTAATACTAATTACAATTTAAATAATATATATATATATTAATGCGAATGACGTTCGTCGTTTTCTGTTTCTGTAACCAACATCCTATGAAGAGAGATTATTAAATCAAAATGGAAGTTTTGTGGGTGCACATAATGATTTAATACTCAACCTCATATACTAAATGAAACAAGCACTAACGATCCGAACTGTAAAACTAAACCCGAAATCAAAACTTTGGAAAGAGCTAATGAACTTTTCACAATCATAAGTGAGCAGGTATTTTATTATGAAAAGCGGTAGCTTTGTATTGTATTTGTCATTTGTTGTGAACTTTTTTGACTCGAAGTATTCTGTAAACGATATGGGTAATTATAAAGGATGTTGAAGGATGTTTTAATCATGTTGTCTACGTAGTATATGAGCTCATAGATTGGTCGCATTTTTCCACATTCCATTTTATTTCATGGGAAAAATGCAACCAATCTATGAACTCCCAAAAAAAAGACCTAAATTCCCTACATTTCATAAATTCTTACAGCAAAACATCCTACATTTAAAAAATTCTTACACTTAAAAAAGACCTAAATTCCCTACGTTTTATAAAATTCTTACACCAAAAAACACCTTCAATTAATTTCCTACATTCCATCAAAAAAAAAAGCATATTAAAATAATGTAAAAGGGAGATAACTCTTGTTTTTGGAAAATTTCTACTCAAATTTTAAACCTTGAAAATGGCAAATAAAATATTAGATCCAATCTTTAGATTATACGATCCGATTTGTTATTCATTTAACAAGAAAAAAGAGGATTATATTATCATCTCACCGACTGTTGGTACTAAATCCCAATTGAATGATGGTGGTAGAATTACCTTCGAAATAAATTCATTATCGAATTGGTTGCTTCTTTCCGATGCTTATTTCAAATGCGATTTCAAAATTAAAGATGGAACTCCCAATGAAAATCGTGTTCCAAAAACAAATACAACGTTAGAAAACAAATTTCTTTCCATCTTTATTTAGCGAGATGGTTTTGGAAGCTGGTTCAAATCCGATAGAAACAATCAAACATCCTGGGGAATTCGACACAATGTTGAAAACAGTTTTATATCCTAAAGATTTCGATTCAGTCTCGGGTTGGATACCCGATGTTGGTGATGAAAGTGTTTTAAAAGAACCGGTAAGAAATCTTGCAAATGATGCTGATTTAGCTAGAGTGAGAGTTGTTGCTCGAAACACAATAGAAAGAGTAGCACGAGCAGCTAATCATGGATTCGAAAAACGAGTACTTCAGTATAATAATGTTGTTGAGAATAATAGGTGGGGTAATTTCGTAAATTGGAAATTATATCCTTTATTCGGTCTGTTGGAACATTTCCATAGGGTTACCATATAAAATTCATCTACAAGGAGAAATCAACGAAAAGATATTTTTTGGAGAGAATGGTTCAGATGCAAAATTAGAAATAACGAATCTCCAACTTTTCATACCCGTAATACCACCATCAATTGAAGTAGAAACGAGAATATTCAACTCATTAACTAAAGATATTGAAATAGCTTTTCTTCATCGTAATACGGTAGGTAGCATGACTTTAACTGGAGAATCCACCACATGGTCAATCACTAACACTATTAAACCAGCAAGATATTTAATAGTTGGTTTCAAGAACTTATCAGATTCTCAAACGAATAACAATAATGTCTTCAGAGTGGCAATGAACCAAACTCAAAATCCTTTAATCCATAAAGTTCAAGTAAGATTAAACAACGATAATTATCCTTACCAACCTTTAACAATTAACCCAACCACAAAGGATTATAATGAATTGTATAGAAACTATGAAAACATGTGTGAATTATTTGGAAATCCACCTCAGTTTGAATATGTAGATTTTGCACTTAATCATCCAATCTTCTGTTTTGATCTATCAGCTCACCAAGAAAAACAGGAGGCAACATAAATATTCATATTGAAAAAACACAAGGAGATGTAACAGGTTATTGTTTATTATTGGAAGAAGCAAAACATTTAATTAAAATAGCAGATAGAAGAATGATAAGAATTGAGTAAAAAATACACCTTTAAAAATGAAACCAGAAACTTTAGTCAAGAAAATAATAGAAGCTATAGAAACAGCTTCACCAACTACAATAACTTATAATGGTAAAGAAATCAGCATAACTAAAAAACTTATTGATAAATATAAATATTGTAAAGTCAGAGACGATATAGACTTAGAAAGAATTGACGCGAACGCAAAAGAAGGTGGATTTATATTTTCCCTACCTTTAACATTTGCTGGTATAACCGCGGCGGCTACGGTGGCTGGTGCTACAGCTGGTGGAGTAAGCGTTGCCAACGAAAAGAAAGCAGCCGAAGAATCTAGACACAATTTAAAAATTGAAAAGTTGGCAGCAGAGGTTAAAAAACCTAAAACGGAAAAGAAAGGTTCAGGAGTGGGAGATATGATAGGCACAATGAAAGAATTTGGAAAAAGATTTAGTGAAGAAACCAAGAAAACTGTTAAACAAGGATTAAATAAATTAGTAGATAGTAATGATACAGGAGAAATCAAAGTCAAACATAAGGATAATGGAATATTTTTAAAAAATATACACACTGGAGAAGGAATATATCTTTCAAAGTATAAAGGAGAAGGAGTGATATTTGGAACAAATTAAAATAATAAAAAATGGGTGAAAATAATAATAATTCAGAAATATTTCCTAATAACCCAATGCTCATGTGTATATGCGGTAGTTCCGGTTCTGGAAAAACTCATCTCACTTTTAACATGTTGACAACACCAAACCTTTTAGATTTCGATTCTTTGTATATCTACACAACAACACCAGAGCAATAGTATTATCAATTCCTCAAAGCTTTAGAATATCTACCAAAGAAAGATGTTCAAGACCTATTTCAATATTACGAAGAAAACGAAGAAGAAGTGGAAATAAAAGATATCTTAGACATCGAAGGAAAGAATCCAACGGATATAAAAGTTTTTCTTACGAAAAATGTTAATGATCTAGACTTGTCTAATATTGATAGCAAAGAAAGAACTTAATATTGTTTGACGACTGCGTAGCGCAAAGAAATCAAGCTGTTCAACAAGAATTCTTCACGAAGGGAAGACATCACAACTGTCACTGCATATACCAATCCCAATCTTTTTACGGGATGGATTCTATGTTTATTAGAAAAAATGCAAATTGTTTTTTATTATTTGAATTAAACGATAAAGATTTATCTCAAATCATTCAGTCGATAAATCACGGAATGGACAGAGATACATTTAAAAAAGTTTGTAAAGCTCAATGGAAAAACCCAGATGATCATGGATATATATTCGTTAATACTAGAAAACCTGCGGGTGAAAGAGTTATGACAGACATTTGTTAAATTTTATTTTTTTAAAAATGGATAATTGGAATAATATTTTAAAAAGGAATAGAGAATATATCAAAGCTAAGAATAAAATAAAGACCCAAGTTGAAAATAACAGATTACAACAATTGGGACTAACGGAAAATCTACAAACTCTATTTCAACCCATATTAAAATCTCAAGAGGATATTAAAATGAAATTAGAACCCACACCTCCTATAGAACCTCATCAAATAGAATATCCCATTGATGGTATTATAATTAGGACAGAAGATGATATAAATCATTCTTTTTCAAACCCCGACCCAGATTTACCAAAGACCATTTCACCAATTATAATTGATGATAAGTTATTCTTTAATGGTTTTAAAATAAAATTTGATAAAGTTTACCCTTTATTCAAAATCAATACAAAAACCTTTACATTTACAACAACAGAAGGATTAATAGATTTATTGAATGGGGGGATCCTGGTATTGCCGATTACAAGGATTTACTAGCATACTCAATTTTTCAGAGAAATTAAAAGGATAAGACGCGACACAAATAGATCGAAATAAGTTAAACTATTTATAAAAGCACACGAAGTTGACGAATCAGGTTATTATACTGAAGACAATCCACCAATCACAGAACAAATAGACGAATTGGAAAAGGAGATAGCTAGTGGACAAGGTATAACGTTTTTATCCGATAATAATGAAGAATTGCTTAATAGATAACAATAATATTAGCGGCAATGAAGGAAGGACATCAATCGCACAGACAATTTAATGAAGTAAATTGTATATTAAAAAGACTCCTAGAGAAAGGTATCATAGATAAAAATGATTATAAAAGCGTGATTAAAAATGTCAAATAAAGATCAACTATTCGTCATCACCTCAAATAAATCAGACATTAAATCATCTCTAGATTATGAGTACGAACTCGATCGCAATCAAGAATATGAATTGGGATTAAAGTATTTCTCTGTTTACAATTCCATTAGAAATATCAACGAAAAAAATAATCAAATAAAAATATCAACAGATAACGGAGTTACGTTCAAAACCATACGTTTACTACCAGGAAGCTACGAATACATAGACATTAACGAATATCTCAATATGGAGGAAGTGTCAATGGTAAAAGCAACATCGAATTCGAAGGTAATTTGAATCTGAACAAAATAAAATTGATATTAAGAAATAATAGTCAAGTTGATTTCAACGTAGAAAATTCATTGAATACGTTACTAGGATTTGATAAACGAGTATACACCCAATCCACTTTAGCACCACACAAAGCTAATATCGAGAATGATATCGATACATCACAAATTGATAAACGGTGGATTTTTCAATAAATACAAATGTCAGATTATTTATAGTCTTCCAACATTCACTGTACCGATAGGATATAGAATTATAGAGAAACCATTTCAAACGACGTATTTATGATGAAAGATATAAATCTGGAAATTAAAGATGGTAAAAATAGGTTTATAGATTTTGGTAACGAGGAAATTGTTATTCAACTTCATTTAAAACAAAAAAATTAACACTCTTCATTCTCTTCTTGAATAGTTAGATAATCAAAATCATCAAATTCGTAGTTTTCATCTATGTTCAATTCTTTTCCGTCGTTGTAAGGATACATGATTCCTTCACTGTTTGATGCTTTTCTCTTAATGAGATTTAGATAACTTCTAAAAACTTTCTTTTGTTTGGAATAACTACTCCATTGATGAAACTTTTGACCCAAGGTTTCTTAAATTCATTCGTTACATCGAGTCCACTAGCTAATCGAATATAATCTTCTACTGATATCTTATCTTTAGAGTAACCCTTAAACGTTTTCTTTTCCTTTTAAACACCATCGGAAGTTAGAATGATATTGTATTTAACTTTTGGCGCTAAATATAAACCAAATATAATTCCACCATCACCGTAATCATTCTTTCCTTTACAATAATCATTTTCGGACACCAACCCAGCTTCTTTTAATTTATCCCAATTACTAGACGAAATGTATAAACTATCGGTATCCGTATATTTCAGGCTTATAAAATCCATCTATCACGCGAATAAAATTATTCATTATTTTTGTACTGTGAGATAAAACGAATGGTCCCAAATGACTAGGTGTTAGTCGTGTAGATTTAGGAGGAATAAATTCTTTTTCTTCTTCATTTATCTCAACTATATATTGACTATCATTTACTTTTTCATAGCTTTTGACGTGTGAATCGAAGTTGGCTTTTAAAGTCGCTTCATTCCATAGATGTCTCGATGTATTTATATCCTTCTGAATAGATTTACCATACAACGAATTGCCTAATAATTTCATGCAATTACTACCTACGATATTACCTTGTCGTTTATATTTATTTCTTAGATTTCTTAAAATTAAAATATAATCTCTATAGGGTTGAGTTTTAAAATTTTCTTCGTAAACTATACCATCTATTATTTTAATAATTCGTCCACTGGCTTTCACTATTTCTTGAATATCGACCGATGTTAAAACGTCGTGACAGAAACCATTTCTGAATCTAATTTTAGTGCCAGTTTCCTTTTTACCTTCTTTATTCGTGAAAGTGATTTTATCTTTAGCTGGTATGGGTTGGAAGAACATGTTTTTGGGATATTCAAACCAGACTTTTAAAATAGCAGTTGTAGGTCTGAATTTCTGTTCATTAAAGAGCTTGACAAATTCTTTATTTTCTTCTTGTCGAAATGGTCTACCACTTTCCGCTCTCGGATATTCGCTATCTAAATCCGACATGGCGGAAGCGTACAAACCGTTAGCATCAAAGGCCATTAGTTTAGTACATTTTATTTTTTTAAGTCTCGAATGAACCTCTGTTTTATCTTTCGTGCAAGCGTTATATACTTTGAATAAATCAATTATATTATCAGTGTCACTTGCATTGTATTCCTTTAATATATTACAAATTTCATCCATTTTATTCGTTTCAAATGATTTTCGATTTGCCGAAACTCTTCCTCCTTTAATACTTTGTCTGATAAAATATCTTATAAAAGAATGAGTATGTGAGTAAACTTTTTCTACGTTTTCTTTTTCGGTGTGTTTCGGAACCATTCTAGTAGTTTCATACCATTCTTCTTCAATCATTTCTTTATCATAATGATATAAATAATACCAACCCTTTAAAGATAAAGAAGGAGCCGTTAGATTATTGGAAATATTCTGAAATACAACTTCTTTCATTGCTTGATTGTATTTTATCAAACAAGCTCCGAGACATAACGTATCTCTTTTAGTTTAAGGTTCCTATTCATGTCTTAAAGATTCCCAATTATCTTTAGTGTATTTTGCAATATTAACATCCTCGATCTTTCTCAAATTCATTGGTAGATTAGATGAATTTTCCCATGCTGCCAAACTAGATGATTCGTGTTGATAGGAACATATGAAATTAATATTTTGCAAATAATTAGAGTTACCCTTTATTTCTTTCTGTCTTTTCTATTTTTTCTGTAAATCTTCATCAGTGAATGAATTAGTTAAAGGTAGAGACAGAATTCCTCTGGGCGTTTTTAAAGGGCATTGTGTTAGTTTTTTTACGTTTTTGATCATGATCCAGTTATCAAAACCGCTAGCGTTATGAGCAATTAATGTTATTCTTTTTGATCTATTTTTCCTAAACGTTGTAACATTTGATCGATGCAATCTGTACCTACAAATATTTCTACTATATTAGCCATGAGTTTGTTGTAAAATTCTTCTGGAAAGGGATCTGTCGGCTTTAAATCTGGAAAGTGATTATTTATTCTGTTTAACATTTTTCTTAGTTTTTCTAAATTAATTAACGTGCAAGAATAAGGTATGGCTTTATTTTCGTTATAGGTTTCGCAATCCCATGCGTATAAACAATCATCGGGAATGGTTGGAAAAACGTTTTGTTTTAGAGGTGAAACTTGCGTTACCACATTATCATCTTTACAAGTTCTCCATACATTTTCATCATAATTATCTTCTATTTCTGTAATGCCTAAGGTTTTGTTATTTCTTCTAATGAGACAGAAATGTTCTTTGTATAAATAAAATACCCAATCTAATTCTTCGTATACTTTCTTTGGTTGAAAATGTCTATGTTTGGGCATATAAATTTGAAAATAAGTATTAAATTTCTTATTGAATTCGCAGATTCTAGCAGATGTCATAACTCCTTTTCTGTTTGATTTTAAAAAAACTGTTGATGAAATCTTGAAAATCTCTCGTGTAGTCTTCGTTTAAAACACGATTAATGCACTTTACAAAGCAGTATCCATCGCTCGGTATATAACAATTTATACCGATATATTCATTTATCTTTTTGAGTAGGGTAACACCACTACCCTTTTTTGATCTTTTTAGTTCATTGAAATTGTTTTTACGAAAAATTATAAATCCTGTGAAATACCAATCGGAGGCATCCGATTTTATATCCACTGTTGCGAAGAAATTGCGAAAAGTTTTGGCATTAAAACCTATAAATTGCATGCCTTGTTTATATCCTCCATCTTGAGTTATCTCTCCATTTATTTCAATTTGCCCTTTAAATGTTATAAATTCATCAGAGATAAGGTTAATAACACCGGAAAAAAGTTTATTTGATATGAATTTTTCATCGTCTAAAATTTCAATTTTATTCATAGTTTTAAAGCAACTATTTTTAACTAGGAATTTTTAACTTTTATTGATGATATTTCTACATCAAATTGATCTAAAATTTCATTGAATTTTTCTAATTCTTCAACTGTTATGTTCTTGTCTTCTCTCGATCTTTCGAAAAATATAAACAATTTATTAAGATATGTATTTAAAATTTCTGTTTTCCTTTTATAATGAGCTTTCTGTTTTGATGTAAAACCTAAAGTAATCAAACCACAAGATGAAGTTTGAACGGCAGTGAACGCGGCTAATACAGTTGGGACAATTATTTGAAGCATTAATCCACCGGTTACGGCTGTTGCCACCGTTATCCCTACTGTTAAAACTGTGCTTAATGTTTTGAAAACAAAATCGATTCTACTCCATGTTTTTCTAAATTTGTTGAATTGTTTTAGTTTTTCTTTTTTGTTTTTCTATTACGTAGTTTTGTCTACTTTCGAGTTCCATTTTTTAGGTAATTAAATTAAGTGTGAACTTCTGATAAAGCTGCTATGTATTAATAACAATGTCTACAGTTACTAACGATATTTGTTCTTTCGAATCATTAATCTTATTCAGATGAACTGAAAATTTTGGTTTTCTAATAAAGAATGATATATTAATATATGCATCATCTCTTATTAAAAATTTTGATTTTGTTGACTTTTATGAATATCAATTGAGGTAAATTTACCATTATCAACAAAATATAGTTTTAAGTATTCAAAGTCTGTCGTTAGTAAAAAGTGATAACTGCTTATATCTTTTTTTTTAATAATTAATTTTTAATAATATTCATTGATGGTGGACTTTCCGTTTCCAATATCATATCAAAATTACTCAATGTAAATTCATCTTCTTCTTTATCTGGTATGATTAACATTCTAAACTTATCTATATATTTTCCACTCGTTATAATTTCATATAAGTGATCAACCTTGGTGTTTTCGTCGTTACTTTCATATTCTTTAGTTTCTACATTTTTTGTACCATTGATAAACTGAAGAACTTTTAAGCGTTAAATTTTGCATTATAAGAATATGATTTTTGTCTGAAGAATATTGAATCAACTTTTACCTGAATGGGAAAAGTTATTCAATTATAAGTTCCTCGAAAGA